CTCTGTGTGAATAATGCAATGAATCCATAAATAGGAATGGAATTATTATGGCACATGATGATTCTGAAACCTACAGTTCATGGTTTAAAACTTACTACCTCCTATTCTTTTTAAATGTCATTTTAGCTTTATCAACTATTAACTAAATAAATATCGTTTTGGGTTTTTTGTACATGTTTTTCCCATTATTACCCTCATTGAGTCAATAAATACACTACGTCTTTTTTATATTCACTCTTCATTTTTTCTTAAAACATTCATCTCTATCTTCATTAAATAGGATTATTATTGACAATAAAAATATTCTTAATTATTGTGTAACTTCTCAAAACGACATTTATTTTGAATAGGAGAGAGTACATAAATTGGTTTTTCATAAATGCATCAAAGTTAACATTATTATTACTTGTCAGATAGTGAGTGTTTTTAAGGATAGTGGGGGACACTAAAGCCTTAAGCCATGCTCTTGTTTCGTACAAGCATCACCCATGGTTGAGGTTCAATAATAATAAAAAAAAAAAAAAAATTATATGCGACTTAGAGCATCCGCATCGCTCATTTAAAAGTGCTCGTTTAAACGCCCCCTTCCTGTTATTGCGTTGCGGCTCGCTCATTAAGAGAGGGGGCCCACTCATGCGTTCAAGCTATTGAACGCGTTCAAGCCAAGTTGTCCTTTTTTTTTGTTTCGAAAGTATTAATTATTAATTTATTTTTTTTTTGTTTTATTTATTTATTTTTATTTAATTTATTCTTTATCTATATCACACATTCCAATATAGATAAATTCAAATTTTATCTAATTTAAGTGTTTTTTTTTATTTTCATTAAATTAAAATTTATTTTTATAATTTAAAAATATTAAATTTTTATTTTGGTTGGGAATAGAATATTAAAATTTGTATTGAATGAGTGGATAATGTGGGTCCCATATATGTATTTAAATGAATGTGTATGAATGTGAGTGTGTGTTTAAATGGAGAGAGAATAAGTGGAAAGATAATGTGGATGTGAGAGAGTGTTACTTTTTGATTGAATAAATGGTATTTTGGTTAATGGGACGTGGATGCCCTTAGAAAATAACTTAAAATATAGACTTAATTAAAAAAAAATATATATTCTCCAATTTAAGTACAAGTGAAATGGTCTTGCTGATGTGGCAACAAGAAAAAAAGAGACCCGATCTATCATTAAGTTCATTTTAAACCCTCCTTGATTAGGAGTGAATTTTGTTAATTTTAAAGTCAATTTCATCCAAAACTTAGGACCATTTACATGCTACGTAGACAAGATTAAACCCAAAGCATTAGTCATTCAGTAAATGAAAAATAATTA